GCCGGTGCGAGCAGCGGTTGTGGGGAGCGGCCGTGGGAGCCGCGGCCCCGCCGCCTGCCAGGGAAACGGGCTGGGCACAGCTGCGGTATCCCTGCGCAGCCCCCACGTGTGGCGGACGGCGGGGCCGGGAGCCGGCCTGGCCGAGGATTGATTGATGCTCTCTGCCAAAACGCGCAGTGCCTGCTGAGGCGTTGATGAACCCGCGCCGGGGTTTGTGGGTCACTGCAGAAAAAGCAGGAAAATGTTGCCAAAATAGTTTCTTTCACCGGGTGAACAAGAAGCCAATCCACACACAGAGTCGAGGTATTTGATTTATTTACAGTTCTGCGTAGAAACGGGTGCTGGGTGGCAAATACACAGAGCCGGCACGCCAACTATCAAAATTTCTTACTATTTATACATTTTAGCAAATGAATTGGTGTTCATTGGCTACCAGTTGGTTAATCCGCATGCTCAGTCTGGTGTTTCCGATCCATCAGTGGTCACGATCTGCCCCTGCCCTAATTACCTTTAACCCAGTTGGAGCTGATTTCAGAACAATTGCTGAATTGGCTTTATTAGTATCTTCCTTATCTTGGAGTTCTGTCAGGTGGCCTTGTGGCCCATGAATTCTGCATTCTTTGTGTCCACTATCATTGGTCCATCCTTCTTACCAAGCTTTGTTAACTTCCCCAAAACTTCAAAGAACATCCTCCCTTCAGAAAATTTTACATATTCCACACTTTGCAACAAAACCTCAATTTATACATTTAAAGGGAGAACAGGTTTAAAATGTACACTTGTCTGTGTGAAATGATACTCCTCAGAAAAATGTAATTTCACTCACACAAATGGGGAATATGGACACAGTTGTACACTTTTCACTCTTGATTTTGTAACTGCAATAAACCCCAGGCTCCAAAATTCATTTTCATTACAGTTATGCTTACGTTAAAACAGAGAAAAGCCCACGATGTAATAAATAATCAGGATAATAGAATATCCTGAGATGGAAGAGACACACAAAGAACAAAGTCTTAAGTCCTGATTCTATGCAGAATATCACAGCCAGCTGCATTTCATCAGGAACCAAAGTGGTAGGAAAAGGAAGAATAGCTTTAAACTGATAGAGGGCAGGGATACCTTCCACTGGACAAGGTTCCTCCAAGCCCAATCCAGCCTGGCCTGGAGCACCACCAGGGATGGAAATCCTGATCCATGCCTTTTTTATTTCCCTACTAATGCTCTGAATGCAATGAAAATTCTGCATGTTTGGGGAATTGAGCAGTGCCTTGAGCAACAAATGATACATATTTTATACTCTAGGAAGATCCCCTGCTGTGCAACAATGCAGGGGAAAAGGTTTCCTACATCATTCTGTCTTTTAGCACCAAACACTGATTTCTGTTACAAACCTTCCTAATTCTCTCAAAAGTTGGAAAAAACCCTTTGTTTTATTGCTCAGGGCAAACCTTGCAGGTTTGACTCCTTTGACTCCTAAGTTGTATTAAAATGCACAACTACTTTGCTCTTGGGAAATTCTCCCAAAATACAGTTTCCATATGCCACAGTTCTACAAGAATCTTACTGTGATGAGGGCAGTAATAACATGGAAAGTTGGATTTTGAGGGGGCAAGATGACAAAATTGAGATTAAAAGAAACCTATAATAACTGTAAGTGCAGTTTATAGATTTTTAGCATTAATTAGAATTTGTTAAATCCTCATTTCAAAGTGGTGTTTTGATGGCTAATATTTGGAGTTGTGCAGTGAATCCCAAACCAAAGTCACTAATTCCAGGAGAAGTCACAAAAATGCTTGTATTGAAGGGAAGGAATTTACCTAGAATTGGAGAGGGGGAAAATTCTGCAAGTTTGTGTCAGCTGGTTAAGAACGGGGTTACTTTATGTAAACATGATGAACCCTCATTAAAGTATTTCTCTGTGCTCATCCAGTCTTTTTGGAAAATCTCCAGGAGCCTTGGAGAATCAAGAATCCTGAAGAAACCTTACCTTGACTCCTGACATGTCTGTTTTGAGATGTGCAGAGCTCTGAGGACAGAGGCCTTTTTCCACTAAAAGAAAAAAGGTAAAGTTGGAGCTCAGCCAATCGAAATTAGTCTATTCTGACTTAAATGTATTAATTATCTGTTAAATACAACAAAATCACCAGAGACTGAGGAGGAAAAAAAGACTTGTTTGCTGTCATCCATGCTCCTTTCATGGGTTAACTCTCATCTGCAGTTTTTCCTGCAACTGGCTCACTCAGAGGAATCAGTGACACAGAACATAGGAACATAGGAAGGAATGAACATAAAATAAGTGTGGTATTTATATTTAAGGGTGCATCTTCAAACAGTGATTAAGGGAAAGGTGGGTGAGAAGTGACATCCCAGATCTGGGGACATGGTGCCACACAACAGTGATGTCTTGTCACAAGGTTTTATGGGTCACATGTAACAACCCTTGTGTGAGACACAACAAATATAAGCGAGGCCAATTTTAGAAACCCAAAGATAAAAAGATAAAACAAAACATTAATTAGGGAAACTGAAAGCATAAATAAGATGTGTTAGCTGCAAAGCCAGTGCACTGACCATCCAAAGGTTTTGGAAGAAAGTGGAAAGAAGTTTTAAGGAGAGTTAGTGCTCAGGGATTTGTAGGTATCTCAGAATAAGCTTCTCTGGTGTCTGAGCAGTGACAGCTAAAGTGATTATTAGACTGTTTTAGAAGCTGATTGATGGTTATTAATCCCTTCTAGGATTTCCTAGCAGAGTTTTCATTTCAAACAGTTACAAATTACCATCATGTTACAGGAGAGAAAGCCTAAAGTGAAAAAAAAACCCTCACATTATAACAAAAAAAGAAAAAAAATCCTTCTGTTGCTTTGCTGACAGGATGATGCAGATTCAGACCAGTAACCCTGGAGTAAATTTCCCAAATTACAAGAAATTAGGCTGTAAAAGGAAAATAATTAGGAAGACATCAAGGCAGGGAAAGAACTGAGGTGCTGCTGATGAAGGTGACACATGTTTAGTCAGCAAAGGTAGATCCTCTGACTGGCTTTAACACAAAGGTGTAGAGGTTTTGTGGTTTCAAGTGTAGTGTGCTCATGTGGTGCTCACTGCGCGTGCAGATTGCATCACCACTACGTTGAAGCGGTGTAAGCCTCTTACTAAATGTGTGTAAGAGGATTTTAATACCTGTTTCACTGCAGGATTCCTTGTGGCAGGTATCCCCCATTCCCTGCTGCTGTTGAATTCCTTGTTTTGTGTGTTCCCTCTCTGTTGGTGTGTAATACATGGGTTTGAGCACTCCCTAGATGCTAAATTTATCCATTAAAAGCATGTTACTAGCTTTTCCCAGAGCATAAATCACAGTGCAGATTGATCTACCAAACCCTAAGGTATTTTCCCTCCATGTGATTTCATTTATTGCAGCTTTGTAGCTGCAGAACAAAATCTGAATTCCTGCTTGCCCATAATTGTGGTGTTTTGTACTTTTGCACAGGAATCTGTTGTGGTTTTTTACCTCTTGGTATTCCTGGGTGAAGTATTAAAACTGCCCAGTTCTACAGCTAGAGAAAGAGGCTGACTATGCTAGCAGCAGGTTTTCCAACATTATCCTGAGCTTTTGCCACCAGAAGTGTCATGAATAGACTCCTAAAAGATGTAATCAAATTACTTGACAGAATCCTGTAATTCTGTAGAATTATTTCTAGGTGGGTTTTTTTTTTTCCCTCATGTTTTCATTCCTTAATCTCAGTAAACACTGTATCTATCTGGAATCCACCTGAAACCTGTGTTATCAACCCATGAGGAAAAATGTGCAGGATCAGGGTAATCAAAGAGCCAAACCTTGCACCTCCAGCTTTCTAAAGGCTCTTCAGGTGCCCAGGTCAGGAGTCTGGTGTTGGGGGTGTTCTGCACCCCTTGGGATCCCTCAGTGTCTGTCATAAGTAGATATTTCTGGGTGCCAATGTCCCAGAAAGCAACAGAAGGAATTCCACACGTAAATTGAAATTAACTCCTTGTAGCTATTTGTAGAAACTTGGATCCTGCATTGGTTTTTTAGTAGCTTAATCATTGACCAAGGATGTTTCCTGTGGAGGCTCCATGTGTTGGATGGGCAGATGCAGAGAACATTCCACTCTTAGCACTCCGAACTTGGAGTCAGAGGAAGGCATTACAGCAGCTATTTGCCAAACAGTGTGAGTAGAGCAGAAAAAGCATCCAAGTCCCAGTGGAATGCGCACAGGTGGGGAGCACAGCTGCTGTAAGCAGGTGGCTGTGCAGCAGCGGCCTGGCTCCGCTGCCCGTCCACCCTCACGAATCATGGCTAAAGCTGCCGTTCCCGGGACCAGCCCGGGTTCGCGAGCGGAGAAACGGGAGCGGGCCTGAGGGGGCCCGGAGGGGCGCGGGGAGTGAGCGCAGAACGGGCAGAGGCGCCGCGCCGTGCAAGGAGGAGCCGCCACGGCCCTGAGGGCTCCGTGGGGAGCGGAGCGGAGCGGCCGCCCGGGCGCTGAGGGCGCTGAGGGGCGGGGCCGCCGCCGCCGCTCTCCCGCGCAGCGGCCGCCGGGTGCTCCGGGAGGCGCGCGCCGAGGGCGGCGCTCTGGCCCCGCCGCCGCCATCTCGGTGTCGATGGTGGCGGGGGCGGGGCGGGCCCGCCCAGCGCTGCCGCGGAGCGAGGAGGAAATGGCGGCGCGGCGCGGCTGAGACCTTTGGCGGCCGCGGCCAGAAGCTCCCCTTCCCTGCTCGCGGTGAGTGCGGGAGGCGGGTGGGGGAGCACCGGGGCGGGAGGAGAGTGGGAGCGGGGCCGCCGCTGCGGCAGGGAGGCCGCGGGACAAGGCGGCCCGGCCGCCTTTGGGCTCGCTATAAAATGGAGGCGGGCGGGCGGCCGGAGTGGCTCGGGGGTGGGGGGGGTTCCCCGGGGAGCAGCGGGGCGCGGGCACGGCACGGTCCGGCCCGGCCCGGAGGAGGCGGCGGCGGCGTGCGGGGCCTCGGAGGAAGCCTTTGGCTCTCGCCGCGGCGGGGCGGAGAGGAACGGCCGCTCCCGGGCGGAGCGGGCTGAAGGCGGCTCCTCCATCTTGGGGGGAAGGAGAGGCGAGGAGCGGCCGGGCGTGCTCGGAGCCCGGCGCCGTCATGGCCAAGCTGACGCCGGGAAGCTGCTTCGTGACGGCACCACCGACTGCACCGCCGGCCCCGCGCCCGCGCCGGGGGTGGCTGGGGCGGGGCAGCGCCCGGGGCGCCCAGAAACCCAACCGAGCCCAGCCGGAGCCGTGCCGGGGCTGCGGCGGGCGGGACTGCAACTTCCCCGCCTCGGAGAGCCCTTGGTTTTCTCTGGGCAAAGGAGGGGATCTCCTCACTGGTGAGTTCAGCACGAGGAGTCGAACTTAATCGTGATCTGCTGCGTATTTTGTAGGGAGAAAAAACCGAATATTTATACAGTAGGAATTTTTGGTCGGTTTAAAATATTTAATAAATTCCTTGTCGATTTCCTATCCTTGGCACTAATGTATTGAAATGTTACTAATGTATTTAAATGCTGTCTCTTGGAGGTGGTGATAATTTGGAGCTGTTTGTTTGGCTTACAAAAAAAAATTCTTTGGTGGCGACCAAATTTTATTTCATACAGTTAAATAGTTAATACCTCCAAGCAACGGCTTATGTTTTAGTTGTGGTTATGAAAATGCTACTACCTTAACTTGTCCTTTTTAATTTAGAAAGAATGTTATCATCTCAAAACGTGTTATAAAATGAATGTGTATTATGCTTGCCCTGCAGTTTTAATCTCCAAAATTTTGAAACAGTGTAACCTGCTCTTTTTCTTGCGTGGGCTTTCATGGATTTTCGTTCCAGGAATTTCACAGAGAAAAAAAAAAAAAAAACCAATTCCTTTTATTTAACTCGGAAGAATATATATAACATTCCTAATTTCCTGGGTTTTCCGCTTAGTTTTCCCCTGGATTATAGAGTTCACATTTTTTTCAGAAATAGCTCTTTTGAATACTTAGTAATCACAGTCGTGTTAAACTAAATTCTTTGGCAGGTAATATTAAACTATATTTTGCTTTATTTTATAACTTTTTCCACTGTATGTCTTTTATTTTGTGTATTTTCCTCAGTTTTAAGGGGTAATTCGGATTAGTTTAGCTTTAACTGTCTTGGTGCTACTTCTCCAAACAAAATTTGCTAGCTGCTAAAGCAATTTAATTGTAGGTCAGTGAAAAATGATGTGTAGTTACTTTCCAAGTGTACCATGTCCTATGTTAATTGTAGTAGATATTCTGGGTTGTGCTCCACTTTTATGTGTGCCAGCTGCTTGTTATCATTCCTTGACATTTAGAACTTTCTATAGGAATAAATATAGAAGTCAGCTTAAAATAGCTTTTCAGTTAGGTTTTAATATTTTTTCCCTTGACAGTTCCAGAAGCATGTCACACATAAATGTGTTTTAAAGCACTGGTGTGAAAGACTAAAGGCCCATGTTGGCCTTCAGCCTCCTTTGAGACCGCTTGACTCCAGTGATTAGAAAATCAAATAAATTGTGTTTTCAAGACCAGCGTTTAGATAACTTTTAACAAAGTTTTTGGGTTGTTTCTTTAAGGGGTATTTTCTTTTGGTATGCAAATGAAAGTTTTGCTACGTTGCAAATATATATACAGTGCAAAAATACCTGCAGTTTTTAAAATTGTTGAAATATAAAATCATAATATAAACTAATGTCTATTCACACATGATTTAGAGGGTGTTTTTATATAATTAAAAGATGGATTTTGAATTAAAAAACCAAATAACACCAAAACCTTGAAACTCCTCAACGCAATGCAAATAGAACAGAATCTAGGTTAGTAGATAAAATAGAATAAATATTTTTTCAGTGTCTAGTGGACTCACAGAAGCCAGTGTTTGTTCTGCTTAATCCAGCTTTACTACTGAGATTTTTCTGGCAGTTGATCACGTTACTTGTTTCTGGTTTAAGATAGTAATTGACTTTACAGTTGTAACGTAAGGACTGTGGGATTTTAATTCTGTGCAGCCTGAAACTTTAAGCTGGAGGTATTAGTGGGAAGAGGAAGAGCAAGGATTAAAGGGGTTGGGCTGAGAGTTATAAAACCGAACTGATGGAAGTAGGAGCAGGGCCTGGGCTGGGTGAGAGTAACATTAGATGGCTTTACTTGATAGAACTGGTGTCTTTGCACCAGTTTTGTTCTCTGGTGCACTTTCTGCTTTGTGTCTCTTGTGCCACAAGTAGTAGAGCAGTGGTAGGAGATACAAGAAGATTTTAATAAGAGTAAGGTTTCCCCAGTTTATGCAAGAGCTTATTCCTGCTGGTGTGTGCAGTCAGGCCTGAGTGCTCAGCTCCCAGTTAATGCTGGGAAGTTTTTATCTAAGGCAGCTTCTGAAATAAGCAGATATTTGACAGGTGTTATTGATGGTGGTCTCAAGAGCACTGAAAGACTGTGAGGTTACAATGCTTAAATTTCTAATTAGGCAGCTCAAACACACATATTAAATTAGCATTATGCCTGTTCTCCCAGTAAATTCTAACCAAAACTGGAAACTCAACTGTGTTTACTGCATCCTTAATAACATAATCAGTATGCTGTAATTACCATGTTTCACCAAATTTGGAAAAAGTTAATTTCTGTTTATTTCATTTAATGAAGCTGTTTTGATGAAATAAGAATTAAAAATGATAGCTAGTTTCAGAGGTTACATTTTAACTCACTTTTTACAGCTGAAATAAGGGAAAAAATTTTATAACCACGTTAGTTTTTTTTCAACAGCTGCACTGGTATGATCAGAAATGATAGATTATTTAAAGATAAACAAACTGTGGGATTGTGAAAAATTAAACTTTAAGATTCTCTGATTTAGCTGTTGAACTTACAACTGAAAGTTTCTAACGGCCCTGATAAAGAACTAATTTCCCTGGTGCCCCGGTGGAGGAATGCCAGAGGGTGCAAATTGCCTTCCCTAAGCAATGTTTCCTGGACAGTTGCCAAAGATATCAAGTTCAGTTGCAGAAATGGAACATTAAGCAAATATATAGTATATATTTGCAAAATATTTTTGTTCAAGATGATGGAAAAGGAGTGCTAAAGATCCTGTATATTGAGTGATACCCCAGCAGTGTTTGTAATTGATACTTCTGTTGACTAAACTTTCAACTATGACTTATAAAACTGGCTTTTGCTGGAGCCTTTAAGAAGGTTTCTTGTTAAGTGATGATTGTGCTTGGGCTTTTAATCTAAGCATTTGACCACCTAAAGTTGCGTTTATTGATTCTTAATCTGTATAAAAGAGAAAAAAATCCTAAATAGTAGAGCTCTCTATGCTGCTTTGATTGTACTCACAGCTTTCCTTAATGGGCAAAATCTTTTTGTTACCTGATTTTTGCACTTGCTGTTCAGACCCTGAAAGCAGAAGTAAACCTGATAAAACCTCAATTTTTTGGGGGCTAAATTTTCGTTCTTAGGATGAGTATGGGATTATTTTACTCAGAAGAATACGAGTAAAGGCTTCAGAAGGTGTTGTAGGAGTAGTGAAATGCCAAATGTCAGTCAGTTACTAAGTCAGTATCTGCCTAGGTTACCCATGGAGCTCTGACTAGAAAATAAAAATGACATGTATGTAATACTTTACTTCCCTCTTAAAATTAATGTTTTCATAAGTGCCAAAAGCACTGCAGTCAATATGAATTTTGTTTCCCAAACACAGTTAAGAGCTTACAGCTTGCAGGATGTGCACAGTGTAAGTGCCTTGTATTAGTAGGGGTTACGAAGTTCATCAGTGCTGTTGTCACAGTTCTGTCCCCAGCTGCTGACACAGAGCTGAGCTGGCAAAGCTTCTCCTGCCTACACACCTACCTTGGAATCTTTGCCAATGTGACTTCTTTTCCCAAGGAATTTGATTGAGCTTTCCAAGTCTTTTTTTCCCCCCCTGAGATGAACTGCTTGGAGGGGCCTGGCATAGAGCTGAGGTTCTGTGTGCAGCTGCACTGAGAGCCCCCTGCACAGGATGGTGCTCCTGTGGCCCACTCTGCAAACTGCACAGACAGGTAAAAGTACAGTTTTGCAGATGTCATTGCAGCAGTGGGAGGCACTTGTGCCAACGCAGCTCTGTTGATTATGGGTTGCAGCCCTTAACGTTCCTGACTTGTGCAGCTGTGACAGGCAACATCTGTAGTACAGATAGGATCTAATATTAAATTAAATCTTCCTGTTTGCCAGATATCTGATGGGCTGGCTGCTAAAAAGCCTTAAGTATTTCTATGAGAAATTCTTCAGCTGAATTTAACTTTGAGAACCTCAATCTGGCTCAAATAAGTTCTTTTTGCTACTTGCCCAGAATAAAATGCCTTTAATGCCTGGTGCCATTCTCATTCTGTGCATGACCTACCCATCCCTTCTTCCCATGACTGCTTGGGTCCTGTGTGCTGCCATCTGAATTAAGCGGGTTTTAACCTGAAAGACATCAAAATAAACTTCAGTGTGTGTGTGTTTTGCTTGGCATAAACCAGGGAGCTGCTCTGTGGTTTTGCTTGGTGCAGTTCTGTTGTTCTGTGGAGTCCCTCGTTGTCTTTGCTCTCTGTGTGCTGCTGGGCGCAGTCTGTGTGTGCTGCTGATCTGATAATCTGCTGCTCTGCACACACATTAAATTCCTCACTTCCAGGAGGGTCCCACATTCCCTGCAAACACGCAGGACTGCTGACCTGTGTGAGCACAGGTTTCCATCCTGTGAGGCACTGGCCCTC